ACACAGTGAATTATATTGCAGGTACAACATCAAATAAATTACCTCCATGTCATGGAAGAGGCATTCTTGACTCTTGATTGCACTAGAGTTTCGGCCTTCAGGTGCCAAATATGAGTGAACCAATCTGACCCTTAATAGCTTTCTTGTACGTACTTGGATTTAGTTCTTTTCCTAATATGTATAGTGTGTCATTTGCGTAGTGAAGAGTAATCTCAGAGCTTAAGTACCAACGAACAAAGCTAACCACTAACCATTATTTATAGGAGTTTTCTGAAGGCGGAAGAATGAAAAATTCAAATCAGCATTGAAGGATGTAGAGTTCCAAAACAACCCAACCATTATGGAAGAACAATAATGGTGTTGCATCAGAATATGAAACGCCAAAAATATAAAGGCTGAAAATTTTTGAATTGATGTTCGCAATATATAAAAGGATTAGTTTAGGTTTATTGTTTAATTAATTAATTTTAATCTCAAATTCCCTATTCGATGTAATTATTATTGTTCTGTAAAGAGCCTTTAATGATAACGACTGTATGTAGTTTAAAAATTATTAGGAACAACTTCCAATCTATATAGAAAACCTAAAACGTGGTTGAGCATTAGTTAGTCTTTAATACAAATAAAAATACTTTTAATAATAGACAATTACTGAATGAATTAAAAAAATTTAACACAATATTTTTTATACCAAATGACGTCACTTCAAATGAGCGGAAAAATGAAGCACTGTGATTGGCCAAATTCTGATGGCTTTATTATATAGTAGGATTTTTTTGATAGATAATAAATTAAGTTATGGTTATGGTATTTACATAATAAATTCAACAGATAGATAGATAGATAGACAATAAATGCTTTCACACTTTTGAGGAAAAAAATTTGGTCATCATTTTGCTTTAATATATATATATATATATATATATATATATATATATATATATATATATATATATATATATATATATATATAGAGAGAGAGAGGGGGGGGGGGGGGGGGGGGGAGAGAAGAGTAATCATAGCACATGCTACATGGATTCTAAGGGTCGTTTACTAACTGGAAATTTCTGAAAATTTCTGAAAAATAGAAAACAGAAAACATGTTTACTAGCACAGTTTTTCATTTTGAAAATTGAAAATAATTTTCCAATTTTTTAGAAAACTGGAACACTCTTAAAATCTGTTTTCTAAATGAAAAACAGAATCATCTATCATCTATTTAGTTATATGTTACTATAACCACATCACTATTATTACATTCATTATCATCTTATTTTACTTATCACTATCTTCTATATTTTCTACTTACTTTACTTATTTAAACATAATGTATTTGCTTACACTTTAAAGTTAGACATTATTTACATTATTAAAATTAAATTAAACTCTATATAATATTTTAGATTTTGATTGAACTCAATAGATTATTAGTTTGAATATTTTAATTATGTTACATTGTAATACAAGTTCAGTCCAGATATCAGATATTGAAATCCCACAACATATATTAGAACTCCAAGTAAAAGTTATATATTCATATACATGTCATTAATGAATATATCCAAAAAATATTTTAAATATTAGCTCATAAAATATTAATATTATCTAAACTAAATTTTAGGTGAACTTAGTATGTTATTGGTTTGGATATATTTTTTAGTTATTATGTTATATATACATATATAGATTTTGTTCAGTTATCAAATGTAAAAATCTTACATATATTAGACTTAAAAGAAAAAAAAAAATTTATTCCATTTAAACCAAACATATGTAAAGATATTTTAAATATAAGATCTAAAAATCAATCGAAATTAAACTTGTGTTAATTTTATAACGTTAATCTAAAAAATAAATTTGAAAAAAATAAGTGTTAGTAAACAAGTTTTCTGAACAGAGAATGAAAATTGAAAAATTAGAAAACAGAAAACAGTTTTATGTTAGTGAACGGACCCCAAGTCTTTTACTTCTTTAAAGAAATCTTCCAAGATTCCTAAATCAAGTTCATTGCTTGATCTCTAAGATCAGAGCATCCCATTAGAGAGATTGTTCACGATTTTTAAGGAAACAAAATGCCAATATGAAAGAAATAAAAGCAAGTGAGAGAATGCATAGAATCTTCATGCCAATTTGAGATTTTTGTTAACTCGTGGGGCCAGAGGAAAGGAACAGCCACACACCATTTGCATGATGAACAATTCGCGCACGGGCCAGGCTGGGCGCTTTAATTACCTTGTTTGTTTTTTTTTTTTTTCTAATTTAGCTTTATGTTATTTTATTTTTTCTCTATTTTATATTTCATCTCATTTCTCTTTTCCAATCATATTTACAAAAATTCCTCAAAAATTACATAAAAAATTCCACTAATGAGGATGCCCTAAAATTGAACTTATTTCATGATTCAACTTTCTTACTAGACCTCCAAAATTCTTTCAAGATAGATCTTAAGATTCACTTTTTGAAAAAAAAAATCTATTTTCAAATGAAATATATATATATATATATATATAGAAGAGCGCTCATATGCGGCGGGGTCTTACGGTGCGGCGGTGCGGTCAAATTCCAGAATACACCAATAGTGTTAACAATATGCACCAACAGTGTAATAAAAACACACCCCAATGAAATGTAATAAAACATCACAAAATACACCACAGACTCAAAAAAATACACCATATAACTCACCACCCCCAATGGTGTATTTCCGAACAGTGTATGGTGTTTTTACTCACACCTAATGGTGTGTGTTTGGTGATGCATGGCTCTGTTTACTCTGTTTTGTGTGGTGTATTTCCTAACGTTGATGGTGCATATTTGGTGAACTATTGGTGTTGCCGCACCGTAAAAATAACCGCACCGTAAAACACTACCGCACCTGAACCCGCCTATATATATATATATATATATATATATATATATATATATATATATATATGTATTGCTAACACATAATTAATACAATGTACTATTACAGGTTATGGATGGGACTCCTCTTAATAATTTCTTTGCAGTGTAGGACATTTGTTTAGTAAATGATTTTGAAAAATGTTTTATGCACTCTCATTTCTTACTTCTAATATATATTCTTTATTACAATTTCTTGATGTAAAAATATTCTTTAGAACCTACATGATGAAAATAACCAATTTTTATTTACCATATCATAAGGTATAAGTAAAAGAATAGAACTTGAGAGTATATGTAATAAAACTCCATTATTTAAGACTTGTTTCTAATATTTTTTGTCCGCAGCCATCTCGATCTCCCATGCTACTCACATGTTTTGCATTTCAAATGTTACTGTGCTTCGATTCTCTCAAAAATGTTACTGTGCTTCGACAAAACGTGGCCTGTCACAGTAGTAACATGACAAAATTAAATGTTTATAGGTAAGTGATAAGTATATATACCGACGAATAAAAATCTAGTTTCAAATATGTTCGGATTTTATTAGAAGTTGAAAATAGTACAAATAAAAATAAAAACTATAACTTAAAAAAATAAATAAATAAATAATAATCAGAGCATGTTTAGTTTCCTTTACTTTTCTAATTAACCAAATTTAATTCAAAATATTTAAAATGTAATACTTAACACAAATTTTGATAAACTAGCCTCGAAAGGCGTGATCATGTGAGTATCATTTTCATACTTAAAAGTTCTGAGTTCAATTCCTGCCAACACTATCTTGGTCAAGTTTATTACATGAAATGTTTCTAATGCGATTTACCTCTCATTGAGATTTATTCCGTAAATACATCAGATAGTAGTTGCAAAATGATATAGTATCAATAGAAAAATATGAAGAGCGACTCTTTTGTAAAACCATCTCACATATTCTTATACCTGTGAGACGGGTCAGGACAAGATAAAAAATATAATACTTATACTGGCAAATGTAATACTAATCAAGAATAAAGTGTGATTTAAAAATATTACGGCCCTGTTTGGTAAAATAGTTAGCCAATCAATCAATTTTAGCTTATTTGACCACTATTAACTGTTTGACTTGGTTAAACAATCAATATGAGTGTTTAATTAATTAGCTTTTTGTAACAACTTATTGTTCCACAATGCTAAAATTTAAAAAAAAAAAAATACTGTTCAAAGTAGTTGTTTCGATAAATTTTTTGAAAAGTCATTTTGTATGTAATCAGCTAATAGTTAATTTACCAAACACTTTTCTATAATCCGTTAATGCTATCAACTATTCAAACTCACTAACCCAATCAGCTAAAAGTCATTTACAAACACCCCCTATATTTTTCTTTAAAATTATTATGCATTCTCTTATAAGTAACAAGCACTTCATTCCTAATTAATATTATATTTTTTCAATATAAGTATTATATTTTGGACTTGACTTGACCCGTTCATGGACCAGTCGTTATATTATAGACCGTGGTGCATGTGCACCGCGGTTAAAAACGGCGCCGTTTCTTCAAGTGAAGAAACGGCCCGCCGTTAGAGTTAACGGAGTCTGCTTGTTTGGTGTATTAAACACCAACTGACACTATAATATATTTAAACTGACACTGCAGTTATATCAAAATGATACTGTAGTTATAGTGAAATGAAACTGTAGTGTATATAAAATGAAACTGAATAACATTTCACATATTTGAGTGTATATTGTACAATGAAGCTGTAATTATATCAAAATAATCATGTAGTTGTGTTTTAATGAAACTATAGTGTATATAAAATAAAATTAAATAGCATTTTCACATATTTGAGTCTATAAATATCAAATGAAACTATAGTTATATCGAAATGAAACTGTAGTTGTGTTGAACTGAAACTGCAGTGTATACAAAATGACACTAAATAACAGAGTTACTTTTTACAAAAGGGTGCGAAACGGCGGAAACTAACACTGTTTATTTTCATTTTAAAAAAAAAAAAGACGCGCGGTGCATAATATAATTTGCCTTTATGGACAAGAATTCATGAGATGGTTTGACAAGTTTTTGTCAATATAAAATATCTGAGACTGATAGTATAAATTTGGGCATTGTAAACTTTGGGTGTATGTTAAGCTCACACTTAGAGCTTGCAGCACATATATTATCCCTAGAGGCTAGAAGATCATATGGAGATGAAGGATTGCAATGTCCTCTTGGTGATGTATCCGGCGCAAGGCCAAATTAATCCTTGTTTACAATTCGCAAAGCGCCTTGTCGAATTGGGGGTGAAGCTCACCTTCCTCACAAGTCTCTCCGTCGTCAATCGCATGCCGGAACCGCCGTCCATCCACGGCGTAGACTTTGCCACCTTCTCCGACGGGTGGGACGCCGGCTTTAAGGGCTCCGACGAGGAGTATCTCCAGTTCAACGCTTCCTTAAGGGCTAAAGGGTCCAAAGCAATTGAAGATCTCCTCACGGCTAAACTGCAACAAGGCTCCCCAATCTCTCGAGTTATCTACACCACTTTTATGCCGTGGGTGGGCATTCTCGCCGGCAAACTTCGAGTGCCCAGCACGGTTCTTTGGATTCAACCCGCCGCCATTTTCGACATTTTCTACCACTTTTTCACGGGTGGGTACGAGGAGAGTTTCAGAGGTTTAACTGGGAATGATAATGGAGTTGTTGAGCTTCCGGGGTTGTCGACGACGCTAAGTGCAAGGGAGATCCCTTCCTTTTTGCTCCCTGCAGGTTCTAGCGCCACCGATTCTTTTATAGCTCAAGCCATGAAAGACCATATTGAGCTTCTTAGCAAAGAAGAGAGGCCCAAGGTTCTTGTGAACACTTTTGATGCGTTGGAGTTTGATGCTTTGAGGGTTATAGAGAAGGTTGGATTGGTAGGAATTGGCCCCTTTGTTCCTTCTGCCTACTTGGATGGGGAAGATCCTTGTGACACTTCTTTTGGAGGTGACATGAGAAAAAAGTGTAATGGTTATGTGGAGTGGTTGGATTCCAAGCCTAAAGGTAGTGTGATTTACGTAGCGTTTGGTAGTTACTCCGAGCTTCCAGACGAAACGATGGAGGGAATTGCACGAGGGCTAGTTGAGACGAGAAGGCCGTTTTTGTGGGTGATTAGGGAGGGAGGGAATGGCGAAAAGCCGGAGGAGAAGCTGAGTTGCAAGGCGGATCTGGAAAAGCAAGGGAAGATAGTGCGTTGGGGCAACCAAGTCGAGGTTCTGCAACACTCTAGCGTGGGGTGTTTTGTGAGTCATTGCGGATGGAATTCAACTTTGGAGGCTCTGACTTCTGGGGTCCCTATTGTGGGGTGCCCACTTTGGACCGATCAATGGTGTAATTCTAAGTTCATTCAAGACGTCTGGAAGACCGGGATCAGAGTGAAGGTCAATGAGAAAGGAATTGTTGAAGCTAATGAAGTGAAGACGGCCATAGAATGCATAATGGGTGAAAAGGAGACAGCACAAGGGTTGAGAAATAATGCTGCAAAATTCAAGGCTTTGGCTAAGGAAGCAATGAGGGAAGATGGCTCATCTTATGTCAACCTCAAGGCATATGTGGATGAAGTGCTACTTGGTCATGGGCAAGAATAATATCCTACGGAGTATCTTTTTTAAACATTACAAAAATGTCACTACAAATGTTTTAGTATCTCTTTTCAAATAAGAGGTGACAATATATAGGATTATTTAAACCTATAATTTTTCGTTTGGAATGATAATAGTGATGTAATCAAACCACAAATTACTTCGCAATTGTTTTAATTGTTAATCTTATTGTGCATTTGTGGCTCAAATCCACTAAAAGAGAAAGAAGCCAATTTTTCATCCTACAAGTCTTAGCAGTCCGGCCACGTGGATACCGAGTGCCCATAGCAGTTGTTGCATTCATTTTCTCCATGTTTCCCTTTATCCAAAATAATCACTAATGCAAGTTGATTTCCATAATTTGTTTTACTATTTTCTCTCCATTATCTTTCTCTATAATAAAGCAAAAACATTTTGGTAAAAAAAAGTTTTTTTTTTTCCCGCCCATTTGCTCTTGCATTTTTGGTCACCAAAACAACTTTGTGACTGTTGAATTGTTGTGGGTTATCTTTTCAGATTTCAGAATATGCAATCATTTCTTTTCACCATTTACCAATGATCATTGGTTACTGCACCCATAGAATAACATTAAATAATATTTTTCAATACAAAATATAATATAATTATACATTTAAATTCACAATAAATACAATCTGATCAGAATGCATTAAATGCAAAAGGACAATGAAAAGACTATGTGGCATGCATTTACCAATGATCATTGGTTACTGCACCCATAAAATAATTTTAAATAATATTTTTTAGTACAAAATATAATATAACAATACATTTAAATTTACAATAAATACAATCTGATCTGAATCTGATCAGAATGCATTAAATGCAAAAGGAAAAACTGAAAAGACCATGCGGCATGCATTAAATGCACAGAGGCTGTAAATGAAAAAATGACGGCTCACGCGTAATAATGACCAAACCCAAGTGCCACACTTCGTTTTCCCAGATGGTTGGGTTAATGAAGTAATTTGGCTATAAATAGTAGTTGTTTTCCTGCACAATTCACTTCAACTTCTTCAACAACAAATCTGAAATACAAACTCAATATAACATCATGGTAGGAATGTTCATTTTGGCCAAAGATATAAGTCCTATGACTTTGAAAAGAGCTATCAAACTAAGGCTTGTGAGAACATATGAAGTTCATGCTAACCGTGGCAACAACTCTATTAAAAGCAAAGAATATATCTTCCATGATGAAGAGGTAACATTTTTTACTGCACTTATTTCATTTATTTTTACTATTTTTTGTTGACATTATTCTTTTGTTAGGGGACATATCTTCATGCTTCAATACCAAGAGAACAAGTAGAAAAATTCCAGAATGTCTTCAAAGAAGGTGCTATGTATGGCGTGAAGAACTTTTTAGTAATAACAAATTATTTTACCTACAAAACTACTGAACATCGGTTCATGTTAAAGTTTAACTATTCTACCATTGTCAAAGAGTACAAGCCACGAAACTTCCCCAAGGTGTTATTTAGATTAAAAAGTATTGAAATGTTGATTTCTCAGAAGGATCTGAATGAAAAGCAGCTGCTAGGTATATTGCTTCATCTCACATTTTCATACGTTGATTTACAATTTTATTCAAGTTTATATTTTTATATCAAATCAAAATTGTGCACAGATGTGATTGGGAAGGTTGTGGAGATATATTCTCCACTGGACAAAATCATTGATGGCAGACCGTCTAGGCTTATTGATTTCATAATTGAAGATGGACTGTATGTTTTTTTTTTTTTCGTTTAATTTAATTTAATTTAATAATTTAATTCTAAGCCTTTGTCTAAATTTTTATAAAGTTTTATAAATTATATTATCTGACAACATTTAAAATATTGAAGGAGTAATCGTCTTAAGTGCACCGTGTGGGATAATCACGTTGATTCAATCCTACCGTATTATAATTCTGTTATTGAAGGACCACTGATTGTTCTGATTCAACTATGTAGGGCAAAAGAAGTTAATGGTTAGTTTTTTTTTTTTAATATCTAATACACACAATAAATAGTTGTTATAATCTGTTCAATATTTGGTGACACTATACAGGAGAAGTCAGAATTTCCAGCTCTTATAGTGCAACTAAGATGTTATTCAATCATGACTTGCCAGAATTTAATGAGTTCAAGAAAAGGTAATTTATTCCATTGATATTTCTATTTATTTATTTTGTTCCTACAAATTTTTTTAACATGTTTTTAATAGTCTTGGAGGCCTTCAAACTCCTCTACGGACTATTAGTTCAATTTCGAGGCTATCTTCGGGAAATACAATCATTGACTTACAGAGTGGTGACATTGTGGTCAGTACAGTTGCAGATTTATATGAAAAGAAAGAGGTAATCTCAGACTAACTATCTCAGTGTTATTACAATTTAAAAATTTAATTGTTTTTGATATGTTTTATACTAAATTTATGATGGGCAGGTTGGTGAATATTGGGTCCCTGCAAAGATTGCTGGAATTGAGAGTGTTGGTGATTGGTCATATCGTTCGTGTGTTAGTAGTGGCTGCAACAAAAAGTTGGTCCTTGACGAGGGACTGTTGTGTTGTACCAAATGCAAGAGGAAATGTGAGGAAGGGATTTTAAAGTATAGGCTCATTGTGCGGGTCTACGATAATAGTTTTGATGCTCCCTTCCTAATTTGGGTCGGGAATGTAATGATTTGTTGGGTTTGACAGCTAAAGATTTGATGAAAAAGTATCCTGAGGTAGATTTCTTTATATTTGGTAATTTATGTTTGCGAATTATTATTGTGATACATTCATATTTTATTTTTCATATTTTGTTTATGTGTTTAAGGGCTATGATGATATCCCAAGAGAGATTGAGGGTTTATGTGGAAGGATCTTGCTATTCAAGGTGTCAGTGAAGAAGGAACAATTAAAGAATTTTAACAGTGATTTTCCTGTTATTAAGGTGGTCACTGACCCAGCTATGTTGTCTACATATTGTTCTATGTTGGAGTTAGAACAGGATAAAGATCATATTTCAAGGATGGTTGATGCTACTACTGACAAAGAAGATGCTGAGATGGTAAGTGTTTTTAATAGAGAAAGATAATCACTTTTCAACTTCAACATATATTTTCACATTTATATGTTTTTAAAAATGTATAGGAACTATCTTTTGGGGATGAAGCAGAAAGCCCAGTAAACTTAGGAGATAATGAAGATGTTGATCTTGATCCAAAAGCGGTGTCAGTTAAACGCCGTCTACTTGACGAGTTTTCAAGCACTATGAAAAAGGGGAAAGCTATCATTGTCAAAAAGGAGAAATGAAGGACTGTTGGAATTATTAATGTTGTTTTTTGAAACACTGAAGCTGAATGTTGTTTTTGAAAGACGGACGTTTGATGTTGTTTTTGAAAGACGGACGTTTGATGTTGTTTTTGCAAGACAGAAGTTTAAAGTTGTTTTTGTAAGACTTTTAACCGTTTCGGATATTGTGCTCATGTGCACAGATTGATGTACTGTTTTGAAACTTACTATGTTTAATATTTAAATTGTGTGTGTTCTGTAATTGTTGTTTTTGGATTTTGTAAGTTAAACTTTGCAGGTTTGCTGGACTGATTATATATTGATGGCAAGTAAATATGGCACTACAGAGTCTGCAAAAGCAGGGTATGAGTAATTTAAGGTAGTATTCGTTTTGTTTTTTAAACTAACATTTTAATTATGTTTGACCAAATAAAATGTAGGGAACTTAACAGTGTCATTTTTCTTGCAGATTCCAGCAACTGCGGAGCAAATATTATAGATGAGTACATGACAATTTATCTGGCCATGCAGATTCCAACACAAGCTTCAAGATCAATATTGGGGGTGGTCTTTTGGAATACATATTTTCTGTGCTTAAAGTAGTATTTGACTTGCATTTATTGTAATGTCTATGTACAAATATAATTTCACAAATGTACCAGTAACCAGTTTAATAAAATCTTGGTTTTTGTTCTTATCATTAGGTGTATGCCCATAAAAATTAATTCCATAAAATAAACTACAACTAAAACACTATAATTTCACACTGTAACAACACACAAATGTTTATACTATATATAAGCTGATGTATAATATATATATACGCACGAAGAAAATAAAAAACAAAATTATAATATTATACCTGTAAATTAAATGATCCTCTTCTATTTGGAGCAACTCATATCTTCTCAATTACATTTTTCCAACTAGATCTCAACCTTCATAAATAAAATAAAAACAACAATCAGAATTTTAACAATTTTCTGTAAATAATAAAAAAATTTGAAGGTTGAGGTAGATCAAAATACAGATTATAAATACAATTACAAAATAGCTTTAACATAGGAAAGATCTATGGTAGTTATAAGGAAGAAGTCACTTATCTGATCTATATAAGCGAAGTCAAATTCGAATGATCAATACAACAAATCCGATCGAATCAGAAAACACTGTACATCAGGATGTAGATAGACAGTTGGTCGAACAATCTTGACATAGATTACCGAAGAATATGCATGCATTCATATTTGGTGAACAAAGGACAATTTTGCGAAGTCGCTGGAGATCGCAACATTGGAAGAGACAAACGGATCGCGAAGAGATCGCTGATGTACGGAAAAGATAATCAGGCAAGTTAGAAGAGAGAAGCAGGCGATCGCTATTTCGGAGGACAGAAGAGAGAAAAACAAGGGTTGCAGCCGTTCTTAGATTTCAGACAAATTTTTGATCTACCAAATGTTTCAAACCTAAATGTTTCAGACCCAAATGTTCATATTATTGTTTGTATTTATTATACTGTATGGGCTGGGCTGGGTTATGGAAGAGTTTGGGCTAATTAAATTAGAAATATATATGTTTGGGTCCAAAAAGTGTTAAAGGCTTTTCTGGTCAGATTTTAATTTGTAGTCATATATATATATGACTACAAATTAAAATCTGAAAAATAGTTGTTTTAGGTAGTGATTTTAAGTAAATATTACCAGTTATTTTGAAAGTAGATTTAGAATGGTTACAAATTAATATGAACTACAAAGTAATTACATCTTTGAAATAAGTAATTACTAATTTCTAATTATTCATTTGTACTTCAAGTTAGATAGTGTGTACAGACAATTTGTAACATAGTCATAAATAGCTTTATTTACACCGTAGTTTTCTGTATGGAATTAATTTTGAAACTTCCATACCCAAATTTTGATAACAAATGTAATGAGTATATTTTGGGTGGCATGTTCTGTATTATTAAATGATAACTGCAAATTTAATAAGGTAGGAAAAGAGATATGTATTTGCTGTGTATATTTTTAAGTCTAATAATTGTTGTCCACAGTTGTAGTACAGATTCTGTACACTCAATAGGTATAGGACAAAGTAATGATTTATTGGTAGCATCTATGTATGCTTTTTATAGTACCTAGGTAAGAAGATCAATTACTTTTTCATTGGACAGTGTAAAAGTAAATTTATTATTATTATTAGAGTTAATACTCAAAATTGTCCTCGACTATAGTGATTTTTTTCAATTTCGTCCTAAACGATTTTGCTGACCTAATATCGTCCCAGACTTTTATGTTTCGCTCAATTTCGTCCCATACTTTTGTGTTTTTGCTCAATTTAGTCCATCATTTGTTATTCTATCCATTTGGTGTTAAATAAATAGACAATTAAGTAATTTTAATATTGACATCTCTTTACTCATAGACATGTGAACTGCGAAATCCCTTTTTTTTTACGAATTAGTCCCAGAATTACTCCTAAAACTGCAAATATAAAATTTGATTTGCAGGCCCGGGAGTAATTCTGGGTGTAATTCGTACAAGAAAGAGGAATTTCGCACTTCACAAGTTGAAAGTAAAGAGAGATCAATATTGACATTACTGAATTGTCCCTAAATTTAACACTAATTTGACGGAATAACAAATGGAGGACAAAATTGAGCGAAACACAAAAGTCTGGGACGATACTAGGTCACCAAAGTCGTTTAGGACGAAATTGAGAAAAACCACTATAGTCGAGGACGATTTTGGGTATTAACTCATTATTATTATTATTTTGAAAACGAATTTTATTATTAGTAATATTATATGTTCTATAAATAAGAGGTTTTCCATAGAACGAAACAAGTTTGCACTGAGAATGGTGAAACTTAGAGGATCAACAACAATAGGAGACAAGAGGAAGGCAGAATGTTTGCAAGGTATGTATGCAATTCCATCAAATTCATTGTTCTGCATGATCGTCAAATCCTTTAGGCCTTTATTAACTAAATATTACAATTCTTTCTGTAAAAATTCATTTTAATAAACTAGGTTCTAATATATAGTATACTGTATATTGTAGTTGCTTTGAGTTGGTTGTTCAAAGCTAGGGATATGCATTTGCAGTTCATAGTGACGTAGTTAGTGTGATTACTGTATTAGTCTTTTCTTATATATAGAGATTCAGAAAAAACAACTTGCACAGTAGAGAAGTAGAACTTGAACTTCAATTTATATTCAAATTTATTATTGAATCAAAAATTACAGAAAAAACACTATAATAATAAACCAAAAAAAAAAACAAAAACTATAGCTAAAGTCCTGGATTCTAGCTTATCTCTCTCTCTCTCTCTCTCTAGGAAGAGAGAATCACGCGATGGCTATTTCGGAGACAGAACAGAGCAAAACAAGGGTTGCAGCCGATGACGAATTTTTTCTGTCTTTTATACGTAGGTTAAGGGTTACGTATGGGCTGGACAGTGTTAGGGAAGAGTTTGGGCCAATTAAATTAGAAATATATATGTTTAGGTCCAAAAAGTATTTAGGATTTTGTGCTCAGATTTTAATTTGTAACCATATATATTTCTAATTAATGTTTTGAATTTTGATTTTATATATGTCTAGGTATGTATATTTTTATAAACTGTACATATAGAATATATACAATATAGAATCTAGATTTGATGATATATAAATTGATCAGTATATTTATATCTTTTATTTATATTTATATTTATATTTTTTATTTTATATATATGCTCATAATTGATTCTAAATTATCTGGACAATTGTGTGTTATAGAACCTTATACAATTTGATATTATCAAATTAATACATAATTTTTTTTTTTTAATTTTATGATGTAGAAAATGTTGACCCCTCAAAAAAGGGTAATAACAATTCATCTTTAGATGGTGCAAGTTGTTCGAGTTTGAAGAATCAATTTACAATTGGGGTGTTTACAAATTCATTGAGTACACCGTTTTGCATTCTCAATGATGGTACGTTATAATAGTTATATAATTATATATATAATAAAGTCTTGCTGCCATATTATTATTATTATTATTATATATATCTATATATATATATATATATATATATATATATATATATATATATATAATTGCTAAATATGTATTATGTAAATTCTCTTTCTTTTTATTTTCACTTCAATTTTGTGTTATAGAACTTTATACCAATTTTTGTTTTTGAAAACTTATACTAATTTAATATTAACCGTTCAATAAATAATATTTTTTTTTATTTTATTATGTAGAAAATGTTGATCCCGCAAATAAGGGTGATACTAATTCATCTTTAGATCATACAAATGGTTCGACCTCAAATAATCGATCTATAGATGGAGTGTTTACAAATTCATTCACCACACCGTTTCGTCTTTTCAATGATGGTACGTTATATTATATATATATATATATATATATATATATATATATATATATATATATATATATATATATAACAAAGTATGCTCATATATTGATTTTTACACAAATTCTAACCTTTTTTTTTAATTTTATATTCAAAAAATTGCTAAATATGTATTATGTAAATTCTCTTTTTAAGTATTATGTAAATTCTTTTCATTTACATGTAATTTTTTTTCCCAAATTCAGGAACTGTATTTCAAAATATAAATTCGTTGCCGAATATAAATAGTTTGGAGGCACAACATGTAGACTGTCATTATGTCACGCCGTTGAGAAATATAATAAACGGTTGTTTTTTATCTGAACAATTATTAATCAATATATACTCTTTTAAAGTTAACTTTAATGTGAATGATGATTATAATTTGTTGAACATTTGTATTGTAGTGACAGAGGTGAACGCGAATTTCAATTCTATTAGCAATGCAACTCCATTCTCAAACCTTACCTTTTGTGGCAATTTAAATGGTAATACAACAAATTGTATTTACATAATTATTATATGTATACAAATTAAGTAATCACTATATATATATATATATATATATATATATATATATATATATTCCAAATTTTTAATTATATATTAACAAATATTTCGTGTAAAATTTAGAACATAATTATGTACATAAATATCTTATTGCTAACATTTGATTTGTATTTTTATTAGGATCTGGAAGCGCAAATTTCAATGTTGAAAATACGAGTGTTGAAAACACAAGGGTTACATCCTTCAATAAGATGCCACCACCACCCATAACGGCTCAGTCTAATGGTATAATTTTCAATTTAACGTTAATTTCAATATTAAACTTATTATCAAATAAAATGATTTAGTAAAAAAATATACTCAGTAATGGCAATTTATTAATAAGTTTTTTTTTTTTTTTGGGAAATGCAGGTAATGTATCAAGAATGAAAAAGAAATCACACAATATTAACAGAATTTACAAACGGTATTGTTCTTAAATTGTTATTAAAATATTATTATAATTAATGAAATTTAAGTGGTTATATATCTTATATTTACTTATATGTTAAACCATCTGTGTCAATTTCAATGCAGTGACATGTGTGAACTCGAGCGTGAATGCATCGACCAGTGCACCTCCATCTTCAAACAATAACTTCTGTGAGTATATATGCCTTTTTAATATAAATTTGTTTAAAATCTAAATTTTAATTATTTAGGGTTATTTTATTTAGATTGAAATCATTTTCTAATTATGTAAATATATTATTATACATATCAATTTGTTAGGTGATCAGTTCCATTCAAGCAATTTACATCAAACTGCTCTCCAACAAAGTCATTGTCGCAATTTAAATAAAGAATTTGATCTAACAATTGAAGAAGAAGACCTTCACTATGACATTGACAATGGTAATATTAAAGTTTTATGCAATTATATCTTATAATTGTTCAACTTTCGATTTCATCTAACATAAAGTTCAAATTTATAATATATTTTTTTTTTCTTGGCAAAGTTATTTATGGTGACTTTGGTGATCCAAATGATACATGCCTACATTGTGGTGCGTTTTTCTGGTTTGAAGAACGTTTGGGAAAGCAAAGAGTTTCTAATACTCCTAAGTATTCGTTGTGTTGTGTTCATGGGAAAATCAAATTGCCATATGTTACTAAACCTCCTAACAAGTTATACGACCTTTTCTTCACGCAAGGAGAAAAAAGGACGCATTTTTTAGAGAACATAAGGTCGTACAATAACATGTTCTGTTTTACATCAATGGGTGGCAAGGTTGATAAGAATTTAAACACTGGAAGGGCACTACTCTCTCTCTCTCTCTCTCTCTCTCTCTCTCTCTCTCTCTCTCTCTCTATCTATATATATATATATATATATATATATATATATATATATATATATATATATATATATATATATAGCTTACCAAATAAAGTCATTACTGATTCAATTTGTATACATAACTCATAACTAATTATATGTAAATAAATATGGTATATAAAATCATTACATATAATTTGCATACATAACTCATAATCTTAATAAATTTGTATACATTAATTTGCACGGAAAGTCATTTGCATTATATGTGGCTCATTCAACCTTCAACCTTAAGCAATTTTTGAATGGGATCAAGTGTTCTGGTGTACCTAATCATTAACTCAGGCTGAAATTAAAGTAGATACTCCAGTTATGTTCTTAAGAAATATTGATCACTCAGTTGCTTTGTGTAATGGGACAAGGATGGTTATTACTAAACTTGGAAATCATGTTTTAAAAGCAAATGTATTATCTGGAAGTAGTGCAGGTCATAAAATCTTGATTCCAAGAATATCATTAACTTCTCCATATTTGAGACTATCTTTTGAATTTCAAAGAAGACAATTCTCTCTAATAGTCTCTTGCGCAATAACAATCAACAAGAGTCAAGGTCAATCACTTTTTCACATAAGCCTCTTTTTGAGAAGACTAGTATTTAGTCATGAACAATTATATGTTACTATTTCAAGAGTTATCAACCCAAATGATTTGAAGATTTTGATTTGTGATAAGGAGAACACCCAAAGTAACTTCACAGCAAACATTGTATACAAAGAGGTTTTCCAAAATTTGTAAAACTTTATTATAATATTTAATCATATTTTCTTTCATACACTTTTACAATGATTTTTCATTTTTAAATTTCTTCCTTAATTCATCATATCATAATTGTTGACGTGCATCGCACGGGTAAGACACTAGTTAACAATAATAAATCAAGTGGAATTGTGATCACCCAAATGGCGTTTGACTAAGCATTAACATTTAACAATTCAAACTTTGTCTTGAAGGAAAAGGAAGCTACAAATCTTGTAAAACTCTTTCTGGTTTTGTCCGTCAAATACGGCAACTAAATTTTGTATTTATTTGGTTGGAAGTTCCCTTTTGACTTCCATCAAAAACTTCGCTTTTCATGCCATTGTGAATGCTGAAAACTCTACACTAAAATACAAATGGCATAAACAGTCTTCTTGAAAGCAACGCAAACCGTCTCTACACTAACTACAAGAAGCCATTAAATTCTCATCAACCCAAAACATTGCTAAACCTCAAAACTAAACTACTTGAGCCATCATCAACATGAACAAGCACCATCATTTCATGATCGTCTCTCTTCCGGCTCAAGGCCACATCAACCCCACGCTTCAACTAGCAAAGAACCTCGCCCGTGCCGGTGCGCGAGTCACCTTTGCCACGACCACCGGAGGCCTTCGCCGCATGCGCAACCGCCCAACCGTTGACGGCTTATTCTTTGAATCCTTTACCTACGAGGGCAACGACGACAACACGTCAAAAACCACCGTGGATGACTACATGGCTAGATTTAAGCAAGCCGGTCCGGGAAATCTCGCGAGGCTATTGGACACGTGTTCTAGCCAGGGCCACCCTGTCACCTTCTTGGTTTACACTATTATGCTCCCTTGGGCTGCCGACGTGGCTCGCGCGAGCCACGTGCCATCGGCTTTTCTAGTCATTCAGTGCGCTGCTGCTTTTGCTATTTATCACCATTTCTTTAACGCCAACAATGGTGTTCATAAAGATGGTGTCACTGACATTAATGACCCCTCATTTTCACTAAAGTTACCAGGAGTACCATTGTTATCTCACAGAGAGATTCCAAGCTTTCTCATACCAAGTGATCATCTCAATTCACTCATGACAGGTATCTTGAGAGATCATATGGAGGTCTTGGAAAAGGATCCCAACTCTTTGGTGCTCATCAACACTTTTGAAGCTTTAGAAGAAAAGCAACTGAAAATCTTCCCCAATATGAATATCATCCCCATTGGCCCTTTGGTCCCATCTGCTTTCTCTGATGGGAATGATGCCACGGACACATCTTTCGGTTGTGATCTGTTTGGGAAATCCAAGGACTATCTAGCGTGGTTAGACTCAAAGGCAGAGCGTTCTGTGGTTTATGTCTCATTTGGGAGCATTGCAGGGATAAGCCGTGAGCAAAAGGAAGAAATTTTGGAAGCATTGATGCAAAGCTCGCGGCCATTCTTGTGGGTCATCAGGTCATGGGAGAGTGAAGGTGAAGAAGCAAAGGCCATGAAGGATAAGGGGGTAGAGGAACGAGGGCTAGTTGTGCCATGGTGTACCCAAACAGAAGTGCTTTTCCACAAGTCCATAGGGTGTTTTGTGACACACTGTGGGTGGAATTCGACACTAGAAAGTCTGGTGGCTAGCATGCCAATTGTGGCATGTCCACAATTCTCCGACCAGTTGACGAATGCTAAGCTAGTGGAGGAAGTATGGGGAACAGGACTGAGGGCACAGGCCAATGAGAAAAAGGTTGTGGAAAGGGAAGAGATAAAAAGATGTTTGGAGATTGTAATGGGAGGAGGAGAGAGAGGGGAGGAGATAAGAAAGAATGCCAATAAGTGGGCAAGTTTAGCTGTTGAAGCTATGAAGGAAGGTGGTTCTTCAAACTGCAATCTAAAAAAGTTTTTGGAGGATATATAATGAAATTTCAAATGTTTTCCATTAGAGTTCATCAATAAGAAATAATGAAATTAAGAATCCAAAATAGTTTCTTGCATTTTGTATTGGAATCTTAATCTATCAAATCAACTGTGTTGCAAAGAAATCTTACATGCTCTAGCCAGCATATGCCATCAAGACATCAAAATGAAGCATATCCAGTAAAGGAAAAATAAATGTATGATGATGATATTATCTATACCTTAAGCATGAGAAAATGATTGATAAATGACCTATATGGTGCTAAGGAATTTGGGTAAGAGTCCTAAAATGCATAATCAAAATTGAGAAATTACCAAAAGTCGTTACACGAACATCTCCCATCTTTGAAGTGGTGGAATCTGGTGGCATCTCTCACGACAATCCTACGATTTGTAATGCCTGAAATCAGTTTCAGAACAGTGTGGCAATCCCCACAAACACGAAGGTTTTTTACAACCCTTATAACTGCCCCTGGCACGGACTTCAGAAGACCATAAGCCACTGCCAATCTCTCGCTATGCCAAAATAGCTGCCTTTCTTTCTCGTTTCGATCCATATCATGCAAAACCCATGTGGTATCTGGTGTATAGCCTCTTCTTCTCATCTCCGAGTCTAACTCCCTTAGAAGTGAAAATATCTCATCCTTCAATGGAAATGATGACTCGCCAGCATAGAACACAGGGCTTTCTTTCCCCAAATCAACACAACTATAAGCTGGCTCTTTCTTAACCTCCATAGTTGCCATCAATTTCCTCAATTTAGACACATTCTCCCACATACCAGCACCAGCATAAATATTAGATAGTAAAATACAGGTAGAAGGATCAGTCGGCCCTAAATTTAGAATACGGTTAGCAACTCTTACCCCCATCTCGGTATTTCCATGCCTCTTGCAAGCACTCAATAGAGCAGCCCAAGCAGCTTCATCGGGCTCAAACGGCATTGTGTTAAGGAGGCTTTCAGCCTCATCAAGAAGTCCCGATCGACTCAATAGATCTAACAAGCATGTATAATGCTGTAGGGATGGATTCAAACCATAATCCCTGGTCATCGAATTGAAAAGGCTACGGCCTCTCTCCACCAAGCCAACATGACTACAAGCATAAATTAGTCCCATGAAAGTCACTTCATTCGGCTTCATACCAGCCAAAATCATCTCATCATACAGAGATAAAGCATCATAAGCTTTACCATGCTGTGCCATGCCAACAATTATCGAGGTCCAAGAGACAACATCTCTCTTCACCATGCCATCAAAAATGGTTTTTGCTGCTAATATATCAGTACACTTAGAATACATGTCCACAAGGGCATTACTAACGAACAAACTACATTCATAACCATAACCTATAACCAAGCCATGAACCTGCTTCCCGAGATCCAACGCTACTAGACTAGCAGAAGCTCCAATCATACTTGAAAAGATATATGGATCCTCAATTTCAACACCCTCTTTTCTCATCTCAATAAAAAGATTAAATGCATCAAACAAATGCCCACTCTGCACCATTCCAGATATTAAAGCTGTCCACATAAATAAAGTCCTGGCTGGCGACTCGCGAAAAAGCTTCAAAGCCTCACACTTCCTCCCATGCCGTGCATACCCAGAAATCATTGCAGCTGAAGAGATTGAATTCCTAAACAAAATTGAGTCAAAAACTGCCCGAGCATGATCAAGCACTCCACATTTGGCGTACATATCAACAAGGGAAGACTTCACAACATCATCATCCGAAAAATGTGACAAAACAAACTGTGCATGCACTTGTTTCCCTATTCTCAAATCACTGAGGTTAGCACAGGCCTTAACGAGGCTAGCGAAAACAAAGTGGTCCGGGTCAAAGCCATCAAGACGTGACATGTCCGGAAAGATGGAAAGAGTGCAGCGAGGAAGGCTGGCTATGTTGTGGGCGGTGAAAATAGAAGCCCAGGAAGCTAAGTCTCTGTGGGTCATTTCATCGAACACCTGGAGGGCGTCGGACGGTAAGCGACATTTGCCGTACATATCTATGAGACCATTGCAGAGAAAGGGGACAGCACATTGGTCTAGGCCGGTTTTTAGCATGTGGGCATGGAGTTTCTTGCCTTGCAATGGAGCTTGGCGTCTCGCACATTGCTGAAGTTGGTGAATTAGACAGGAACGATGCATTCATGACCTGTCTACTTTGCGTATTCGCTACAGATTCTGATGGCTTGAGGGTCCGTTCGAAATATTTTCCGTGAAACCTTGAAACGCTAACTAAACGGCAACCTAACATTTTTGGAACGAGTTAATTCCACGGGACGTCCCTTGTATTTGGTACCAATTTCAAATTTAGTTCCAAACTATCATTTTTTGTTTGCTTCGTAGAATGTTAGATTACCTTAATAAATATTAGATTGCTCGAAATGTTAGATTCTTGTGTTTAATTAAAATTGAAGTATGTAATATAATCATGTTTGGTTTAGCGCTATCTTTTATAATAATAATAATAATAATAATAATAATAATAATAATAAACTAACATAAAATATATATTCAAGGCAAAATTTATAAATATCAAAATAATTAGAATTAAAATAGCAAAATTTATAAATATCCAAGGTTATTTTACATAACCTAAGAAAATGAAGAGAATCACATTCCCTTCAAAATCCTATGTGAAAGGAATGTTTCATTCCCGGGAAATGTTATATTCCCTCATGACCCGTTTGGTTCACGGAATAGGCCGGAAATGGCATAGCATTCCTAGTAATAGGCCTATTCCTTTGTTTGGTAACCATTTCTATTACCAGGAATAATATTCCTGGTAATAGCCTATTACCTCAAATAAGGTAATAGCTATTACTAGGGGCCCCCCTGGTATTAGCCCATTACTGAACGCTCATGAATAGATTTTAGGATCCATTTTCTTTTTTACCCCTTTCTTTAACCTAATTTTTTTTATCCTATATATAAATTTATCCTATTTTACCACCGTCGTCGCCACTACCACCATCACTACCGCCACCACCACCATCGCCACAACCGTCGCCGCCACCACCGCCGCCGCAACCACTGCCACCGCCACCACCACCATCACCACCACCACCATCACCACCACCGCCACCACCACCACCGCCACCAGAACCACCACCCAGCAGCACTACCGCCACCGCCGCCCCGACCACTGCCACCACCATCGCCACCATCACATATTTTTATAAGGGTATTTATGCCTTTTAAAACATATTTCATTTCTATTCCTTAAATCAACCAAACACTGTAATATAATTCCTAAAGTCTATTCCTTCTGTGAACCAAACCATAGAATACAATTCCTATTTTATTCCTATTCCATTCCTTATGGAATAGCATTCCTATTACTTCAAAATTTATTCTGTGAACCAAACGTGCTGTCAGAGAATATGAACCACACATATGAATGTAAGTTCGGGAATGTCACATTCCCTTGGTTATGTAATATAACATGAACCAAACGTCCCCTTAGTTTTTCTTATGATTTTTCCTATTTTTAGTAATGACATTTTTATCTTTTCATATTTTTCTTTTGTTATTTTTCTGGTTTCAATCGGTTTAATTGGTTTAGGACTTTAGGTAACTTTTGGTTTTTACTTTTTAGTAACCATATTTTTCAACTAATTTTTAGTAAGGTCCTAAACCAATTAAACTAGTTAAAATCAGAAAAATAACAAAAGAAAAATATTAAAAAAAAAATGCTCTTACTAAAATTATGAAAAGTCATAAGAATGACTAAAAGTGTCCAAAAAGTAATAGTATGGGATGTTAAATGACAAAAACGATAGTCTGTGACTAAATTTGAAATTTCCACCGAAGATAAAGAAATGTGGTGAAATTAACTCTTTTTGGGACTAACTAAACGTCAACCCAACATAAAAAGTAACGCAAATGTTCACAATTTGTATATACTCCCAAAAGGCTGAACCCCAACCTTAAGGGCCCCCCACACCCCGGCCGACAGAGCATTTAGGAAGATGTAAATCATGGTGACTCAACTGAACCACAGACTGTGCACAAGGAGCCCCCCTCACTGCCGCTGGTGAGACTCGATCCCTGGTCATTCTTCCAAAGTTTCACCTCTATGACCAGTTGAGCTATCCATGCGGGCACAATTTGTATATTAAGAACACACAATGTTAACATATATGTAATTGCTTACCTTATTTTGCATTCATAAGTTCCTTTCAAATACTGTAGTCACACAATATTAACATATTAGGATTTAATGACCCTATATTGTATTCACAAATTCACTTCTACCGTTGTTATGGTTCCTGGACTTGGCGCCTTCGAACTGTTCTTCTTGTCGACAACTACTGAAATGGAGGAATAAAAGGATTATAAGAAGAAAACATAAAAATACATAAATGCCTCACTGCTGGAAATTCGCGTTTTTCCGACCGGAAATGACCAAAATAGGGTCGGAAACCCCTGTTCCGACCGATTTTTTGACCATTTTTGACATCCGCAAAAACGCTTGTCGGAACTTCCGACCACTAAATAAAATGGTCGGTGTTTCCGACCACTAAAATAGAGTAGTTGGAAAGTTTTGTCGCAAGAGGGAGTTGGCTGGTTGGCATTTCCGACCACCACGTGGTCGGAAATGCCAACCAGTAATTGACAAATAATTTTAAAAAAATACATTTCACTGCTCAATTAATTTAATACATATAATATATCCTGCAATAGTAATTTTAAAGAAATAGTAGTTTTATAACAATGTAATATTACCAAAAACTAACAATTTTAATTGCATATTCACAATTCAAAAAGTAGTAGCTACTTTAAAGTTCAAAAAGTAGTAGCTACTTTACATTTCAAAAAGTAGTAGCTACTTACAATTCCAAATGTTTCTACATTAACATCACAAGTTCTAACAAGTACTTAGTCAAGATTATCTAACCCAACACCACTATTTTGATGGCTATCAACGGTAGGAGCAACAGATTGTAGCAATTCCGGATGTGCCCCACAGATGCCTTTGAAACAACTCCATAATCTTCTTGTTTTGCTTTCTAATCTCCTCCTTGTTAGAGTGGACGGATATTTCCGACCACTTATTAGAGTGGTCAGTTATTTCCAACCACAGAAGGTGGTTGCTAATTCTTCGGAAGTCGGCTGGGAAAAATCCGAATAGCTTACCGACCACCTTTTGGAAGTGGTCAGAACTTTCCGACAACTCTAAGAAGTGGTCGGAAATTTCCGACCACGTTCCGACCACTCAAGTGCCTGACGAAAAAAGAAAAAAAAAATACTAGTTTGCGACCATACTTTTAGGTGGTCGGAGAAGTGGTCGGAAAATCGTAAATTTCCAGCAGTGCCTTTTATTTTCACAGTCAACAGACGACACAAGTGACAAAGGACTAAAAGTGTCCAATGACCAATAAACGTGACTACAAATTGATAATTTTTTTTTATAAAGGACTAAATCTATCAACCGCCTAATAAGTCTAGGACTAAAAAATGAATTATGTTTAATTACTTATTTGAAACTTTTGTTTAGTGTCTTTAACAAAATCTTACTCGCGCGTTATTGCAATTTATATTATGTTTTTTGAATAAGGGTCAAATAGGCCATTGAACTGCACACGATAATGCAATTAGGCCACTGAACCTAAAAATCTAACAATTGGGTCCCTAAACTAACAAATTTCAAACAATTATTTTAATTTGTAGGTTTCCAACATGTCATCTCCAAATTAATTATTTTTAAAAAAAATAAAATTTAAAAATTAATTAATTATTTTTTTAAAGAAGAAACCGGCCGGAGACGAAGAAGGTCTTCGTCTCCGGCCGGATTCTATTTTTTTAATAATTAATTTTTAAATTTTATTTTTTATAAAATAATTAATTTGGGAGAATGACCTGTTGAAAATCTTCAAATTGGAAGAATTATTTGAAATTGATTAGTTTAGAAATTCAATTGTAAATTTTTTTAGGTTCATGACCTAATTGTATTTTTGCGTGCAGTTCGATAATCTATTTAACCCTTATTCCTATGTTTTTTGGTGGGTTTGGCACGAAACATATTTAAGAATAAAATAAATTGTTTATATTTGTAATTTGTGCAATAGGGTTAGAGGGGTAAAAAGTTGGAAAAGCATTTGACGTTTCAATTATTGAAAATTTGTTGTTGTACAAAATGGTCCCACCACATGTTTATAATCCACTAAATATGGTTTTTATTTTAATTTTTGGAATGATTTGTGCTTATGGTAATCATACTTTGTCTCTATGCAATGAGATGCAATTTTGTCTTCTTGAATATTGCAAAATTGGACTTTCACACACCGAGAATTCAAAATCACATCTACTATTTGAAAACGCGTGCTAGCTAAATTGATATATATTATTAGGAAAATACATTGTGCAATGTGATTTTATATTTTCAATTTGTATTTTCTCTCACATATTTTTTTATGTAGACTATAAATAAAGGAGTAGAATTTGGAAGTACGTAAAGTAGAACTCAAAGGAAAATGTTTTTGCCTTATAATTACTATACTTCCTATTAGTTATATTCAATTAAAAAATTATTTATTTTAAGAGTTAGGTAAATTAAGTTAATCAATGACAGACGGTTGTTGGAAAATAAAGAAAAAAAAAGTTATGTTAATTTTATAATATTTATAAAACTAATCCCGACTCTTTGCCCCTCTCATCTTTTAGTAACCATCAACTATTGATCTACCTAAATGGATGAATCAAATCAGTCATCATTTTTTACGTGGAAATTTGTTCTCACGTGAATCTTTCTCTACACATGCTCACACACACAAAGACATTAGAGTAAAAGGTTGTACATATTACAAAAAAACCTTGAATTAACCACTTTCTTTGATCTTTTGAATTATTTGATATGACACAAATATCTTTATACGTAAGAGTCAATAGAGAAGACAACACTAACAAATTTTACCCATAAACATATAGATAAAGTGAAACACAACTTTAAATAAACTAAGAGCTAGTAAAACGTACTCATGCTATAATGTGTTGTAATTTTATTGATGAACGAGAAAGAGGGCAACAAAAATTGTAGTATATTATTTTTTCATAATAAACCAAAAGTTAAATTGAAAAATAAAATGTGTGAAATAAGTTATTGAGCTTATAAATTTTGCACAATTAAATCATTGAACTTAAATTGTATGTAAATGAACCATTAAACGGACAAAATATGTGCAATTTTTTTCTTAGTGTCCCCCAATATAATCTAGTCACATTGCTTAAATTATACATATAATAAGAATTATTTTTTCTTTTCTAGCTTTGTTGTGCTAGTTGGAAGGAAATAATGAAATGTTTTCACCTCAAATTATATTGGAAGAAAAAAATTATCCAGACCATTGCACACATATTTTACTTGAATTGTTTAATAAATTAATTAAACACATTATTCAATAACTTATTTAACACATTTTTTTATACATACTAATCCTAAATTCTCAAAACCTTCTTCTCCCGTCCCAAGAGCCCCACACGGCCACACCTCAACCCGACAAAATATTTAGAAAGATGTAATACGGTGGCTCAATAGTTCAACATACATGGCCAAATGCCGGCCGATACGCACAAGAAATCTGTTCACTTTAAACCTAATTTCCATATTATTGCTGCCAATATTTAAACATTGGTCTCTTCTCTCAAATATTGCATATTGAGTCTGTTTGATAGAGCTTATTTAGAAGTTTATAGTTTATTTTAAGCTACTAATAAGCTATAAGCTCTGTTTGGTAATGTTCCCAAAATAAGCTCGTAGCTTAAAATAAGCTAGTAGTTTCCTAACTTTTTTCCATCTTTGTCCTTATTATTTTAAAGAAATGACATCATCTATCCTTCCAAATTAAAATTTTTTTCACTTTCTCCATTATCTTTCACCGTAATTATTATTATTATTATTATTATTATTATTATTATTATTATTATTATTAGATGAACGAGATTCCCAACAATACTGTTACTTCATTATGGGATGCTAGATCATGATTATGCTAATAATTTTATTTTAAAATGTTAATTTTGTTTAAGACAAAATGTTAAATGTTAATATGTGAACAAATTAATTTTAATTTAAATTTTATGAAGATGTCATTTTTTGTCTTTTCACATTTATCTGCTTATCAAAAAGCTAATTTTACCAAACACTTTCAAGCATAACAGCTTTTCAGTTTTGAGCTCCTAACTTATAATTTTTCAGCTTTTAGCTACCTTTTCAGCTAGGTTTAACAAACATAACTTATTGTACTAGGAGTAAACACTTTTTTTTTTTGAGAGAGAGAAAGGAGTAAACACTTTTTCTTTAAATCAAAGTTAGTCTTCCTCAAACCCACCTTTTCTTCCGCGTGACAATGCTCAATCATGCATATAGTGGGTGAAGTGCGGTCCCTATGCTCCTACTCTGACTTCCACTACCATCATAGAAAAACATACATTCAACCCCATATGCTGCCTATATAATTTTTCTCTCACACAAACCCTACACAAAAAAACATCGAAGAAAAATGAAATCCACCGCTAGAAACCTCCTTCTCCTCTTCCAATTCTACCTCCTAATCCATTCTCTCTTACTCCTCCCGGCCGCCGCGGTCTCGCCCCGCGTAGGATCGCGATGCAACGGCTCCATCGCCGAGTGCAGCGCCGACGAGATAGAGATGCTGATGGAGTCGGAAGTCAGCCGGCGGTTTCTCGAAGAGAGGAAGCACATCTCCACCGGAGCCTTGAAGCGGGACGAGCCGGTGTGCAACAGCGGCGGCCCCGGTAAGCCGTATACTCGGAGCTGTGTTCCAGAGCCTTCTAACCCTCATGATAGAGGGTGTTCAAGTTACTACCGCTGTAGAGATGATCAATGAAAATCCTTATATTTTGTTTTTTTTTTTTTTTTTTTTTTTTTTTTTCGCTTTCTGAAATTGGTAATAACTATGTGAGATATACTGTTTATTTGTTTTGGTGATGAATAATTGAATATAATCTTAACGGGTTTAATCGTCTTATTTTATTTATTTTTATATAATAGAATTGAAGAAAAAACATATAAGATTTTAGATAATTTTAGTAAGCTATTTATATCTACATCTACAAATTTGATAATATCCACACCTACAATCTATCTACATCTATATAAATTTAATGAGAGCCATAAAGTTAAACTTTAATGAAAAAAAATGTTAGTATAGTTGTTTGTTGAAATTAATGGTTAATATTATATTGATTTTAGTATTTTTTATATATATATATAATTTTTCTTATTTATCTTCTATTATATTATTTCCTTTCCTTAAATAACCATGTATTTCGTTAGTATAAACTTTAGTTAATTATTTATTATTCATAACTTACTCATTAACTTCTAAAAAAAAAAAAAAAAGGTCTTAGGTTCGAACCTCGTCCCAATCTGACATATACTACGAATATGTTAAAATATATTTTAAAAAAATATTTTAAAAAATACAATATAAAAATTAAATTAAACTTTTGTCAAATAATTAATCCGACTAAATACATAGCATTCAAAATTGATCATCAAAAATTATAAATCATGAACATTGAAAATCATTTGCTTGCATTAAAAAAAAAACACAAATTTATGTTAAAGTTTTTTTTTTTTTCATTTAATTAATCTTCTTTTGATTATTTAAAATAAGACTCAATATTTCAATTATCCTTTTGCATTATTGCAATGATGATTTAAGTTATTATGGTATTAACATTTTATAATGTAAGTCTATAATGGTACAATTGTACATTATTTTACAAATACTGTACTATTATTTTTTTCGGACAAAATTGTTCTTACATCATTGTCAAATCGTGCGACCTAACTACACAATTGTTAATTAGAAATACAACTACACCTAGATTCTAAAACGGTATGACCATTTTCCAAAGAATTAACAATATTGACATCTCTCTGGCTCAAGTAAACAAGTTTACACATCATTCTCAAAATTTTATCAGTGCATGAAAATTCCTGAAAAAATTTGTAACTTAATATTTACTATATCATTATAAAAATATCTATTGTAACCATATATTTGGAATTATATTATTTATTATCATCCTGGATTGATGGCAATTGTAGCAATTGTCAGTGACAAACTCCCAAAATAATTTGTCTCAACAACGAATGAAAATAAAAAAAATTAATGACTTCATTGTTCTTGATGAAAAGTAACTACATCACTTTATAAATCTTATTAAATTAAATAAATTAGTAGCTACAATCAAAAATAATACATATATATTTAATTAATTTAGAATTTAGACGTCTATAATGCCTTTACTCAAAAAAAATTATTCATTATAAAAAAAAAGCTATAATTTCATTAGTTATATTATCTTTATTTTCTACAATTCAAACATTCTTTACCTTCAAATTCATTACTTAATTATATTTACTACATTGTCCATTGTCTTCTGTTTACACTATCTTGTAATTAGTATCAAAGTTATAATACAAAATATGTTATATATTTATTGAGTTAATACCCAAAATCGTCATCGACTATAGTGGTTTTTCTCAATTTCGTCCTAAACGACTTTGGTGACCTAATATCGTTCCAGACTTTTGTGTTTTTGCTCAATTTAGTCCCTCATTCGTTATTTTGTCCATTTGGTGTTAAATAAATAGACAATTCAGTAATTTTAATATTGACATCTCTTTACTCATAGACATGTGAACTGCAAAATCTTTTTTTTTTTTTTTTTTTTTTACGAATTACTCCCAGAATTACTCCTAAAACTGCGAATATAAAATTTGATTTGCAGGTCCGGGAGTAATTCTGCGTGTAATTCGTACAAGAAAGAGGAATTTCACACTTCACAAGTTGAAAGTAAAGAGAGATCAATATTGACATTACTGAATTGTCCCTTAATTTAACACCAATTTGACGAAATAACAAATGGAGGACTAAATTGAGCGAAACACAAAAGTCTGGGACGATATTAGGTCACCAAAGTCGTTTAGGACGAAATTGAGAAAAACCACTATAGTCGATGACGATTTTGGGTATTAACTCTATATTTATTACAAAGTATTTTATACAAATATAATAAATATTAATATTTTGTTCAATACTTTCACATGATAATATACGACACACATCTTACAACACATGAAACATGTAGGGGAAAAAACTATCACTGCCAAATATCAATAGGCGCTTGCAAAATAAAGAGTTCATAGTACAACTAACATCCCAGTCATATACACAGCAAGGCAAATCAAAAATTTCCTACACCATAATCTCATTGCATTGCACTGCCCTCTATGCTACTACCAGTAACACAATTGAACATGACACACAATCAATAAAACAAGAGGACAAGTACTGAAGATGAGGACAATGACAATGCAATCCAAAAGATAATTAAGAAGGCTTAGAGAAATTTAAACCAAAAATAATATTTATTTAGACTATCGTTTTTAAACTAAGTATTTAGATTTGCGTTATTAAAAAGTTATAAACATTTATTTTAGTGACAATTAAAATAATTAAATCTCTCATATATTATATTGCATTTATATATTTTGAATTACTGATTTAAATAAACAAATTCAACATTCAATTACCTATGCATGAACATCTCCTATATAATCTTGCATTGATATACTTGGAATTACTTATTTAAAAATAATCATTAAACATTATCTTATTTTTGAAATGCGCGTAAAAAACTAGTAATAGAATGAAGTTAAAAATTTTACTTTAGAGAATATGAGATCTCTAAATTGGTTCATTTTGCTATGTTACAAACAAAATAGCACGCCGCATATTTAAATTTCACCTTCATCAAATGTAGCAAAAGGTAATACAATAATATCTCTATATAAACTTATTACATGGACATTTAATATGCATTGAAGCCTCGTATACAGAAAGTGTGCTTGTATAATTTACAAATTTCTCAACATTCATTAAAAACTTATCAATGTACCATTTTTTTTGGTAACAATCAATTATACATCCATTTTGGATGTTCATGTATATTAACCGTATAAAACAACTACAAAAGCATTTACATTACAAACACATAAATATATTACAAATAATATACTTAATATCTTAAAGAATTATATACAAACATAATAATAAATACACACATATAAAATGCACACTTCCACATATATATGAATAATTATAAATAAAATAATGCACAAACACATAATACACAATAGTTCACTATATAATGTAAGGTTAAACACACACACACACACACAAGATTACAAATAATTATAAACACACACACACATATACATATATGCACACTAGACATTGTTCAATCACAAAATAAATAATCTAAATAAGTATTCACACAAATATATTCAAAAACTCAAACCAAATCTAAAAATGACTTATTTAAATGGTAATTCTAATAATATATACACATACCTTAGTTTGATATGATGTAGTACAACTTGATTTTAACACTATTGTAAATGATTTTGTGAAAAAGAAAAAAATACCTTCAACAATGAAAACATCAGTAGAAAGGGGTAAAAACTAGAAAACAATAGTCTGAAAATGCCCAAGGGATATGGTATATATATATATATATATATATATATATATATATATATATATATATATATATATATATATATATATATATTTATTTATTTATTTATTAACACAAAAATAAAACAAACATAAATCAATAGTATAACTTGTATTGAGACTTATTATATTTTATAAGATAAGAATTAACTAAGAAAATTTTTTAACATCATTTTCAACTACAAAGCAGTATCATCACATAGTCTAAATTTTGCATTTTGAAGTATGAAAAAATGGTAAAGTAATAAGCCTTGAAGGACTTGGACAGAACTGCCCTTATATTAAACAGTCACTTAACACCTCTCTTATAAAAAAGGATAAAAATTACAATGTCACTTATAATTTACGGACGAAAAGTGGGCATGTATAAATTTAGAAACGAATTCTATAATTACCTTATAACTTAGGGACGAAAAGTGAGATTTTCTCATATTTTTAATAATTATAAATGTGAGATAAAGTAAAAAAAAAATAAAAATGACACATAATCTATATACAAAAGGTTCTTAGCCAATAAACTACACACAAAAAAGTAATTGAGTAATCCAACTAAAAAAAATAAAATTGGATGATTGAGACAAAGAAACTAGTCTAGATAGTTTAGGAGCTTAATTACACTTTTGTGAGTTGAATGACTCATTGTATTTTTGCGCATAGTTCAAAAACTAATTTAGTTTTTTGTTTTCTTCAAAATAAAATAAACTACGAAGTAATTTTTTTTTAATCATAAACTATTTATTTTAAAAAGGGAAAAATGATATTTTTTCCTCCTGAATTATAAGTTTATAGTATTTTTTTCCCCTATGTGTTATTCATGCATTCACATTTGCACCCTCAATTATTTTAAAAGTAGCGATTCCCCCCTTTAATGTTAAATGGACATTTCATCCTTACAATAATTATTTCATTTCTTCTCCAACAAATTATTGCTTATATGTTGGGATGACTATGGTTCGATTTGAACCAAACAGGACACAATAGCAATCCCAACTGAAATAGTAGGGATGATTCTTGTTACGATTTAGAACCAGAAAAAAATAAAATGATTGTTGAATTTAGACTATTTTAAATAGAAAAGAAACTTTACCAAAATAAATAAATAAATAATGTTTAAAAAAAAACTGGTATCAGAATAAATGCGAACCGAAATTGAACAAATTTATCATTTACAAATCTGTTTGATTCGAATTCTCATTTATTCCGATTCCAATTTCAGTTTGAACTGCCGGTTCAAAATTTATTTATTTATTTATTTTTAAAATTTTATTTTCTATTTTTAAAATAGTCTAAATTCAACAATTATTTTATTTTATTTTATTTTT